ATGCGTTTGAAGTAGGATGTTATGCGAATTGAGACATCCTTTCCACTTAATGTATCCAACTTGTTCCACACAAATTCTTGCCATTCACAAAACTACTTAGTATGTTCCAACATACCTTAAACATATATTTTCATTTCAAAATAATGTGGTCCTATCCCATAGGTCTCCTTTAATACTCGAATACGTTATCCTCAAATACCGCTGGCGCACTTTAAAATCTTAAATCATTAGGAAATTTTTAATGGGTCCTTACAGTATGTTGGCTAAAATTCTCTCCTAGAATTGAATCCCATGATGTTCTTGTAAGTCCCGAGTTATTCATTATAAATTGACTATTTCGGATAAGCTTTATGTCGAAAGGTATATGTTCAAAACGGGTTCCAAACGCTCTTGTCATATTATGATATCATACGAGAATGTGTTCAAGTATGGGATGTGTGTTAAGATGTTATGACTTCAAGTCGTGTTTCGAATGAAGGCTATTATGCCAAAATATGTAAGAAATCTCGATGTGCTTAAGACTCTTAATTATTCATGTGTGTAATGAAAGCCGTGATTAGAGATGCTTTATTATTGATAATCTATAAAAATACTTGAAAGTGGAAGGAGTTAGTTAGGGATATAAAGTGTGGCCACCGAGCCAAGAATGAAAGTTATACTTGTGGCCAATAGTGACAATGAAATAAAATGACGTGTGAAAGATTATGAAATGAGCTTTGATTCAACTGTTCCAAATTGACTTCGAAAATAGATTTGCCTAAAAGCTTATGTACTCAAGTCGTGCCCAAATGTAGTTGTTTCAATTAATGCTATGCTTTGTAAGTATTTCCAATGTGTTTTGAGCTCTTTTATATTCATGAGTTAAAATTGTGTATTGCCCTTTTGGGAAAAAGTATTTTAAGAATAAATGATGTGTTACTCGTGTATGATTTTAACTTGTGCTTCGATGGCCAATCATTTTACTCCATTTTTTTGAAGAAATCCATTGTGTTTAAAGTCTTCGTTACTAATGAACCTAAAGTTATGGTTTTCGGAGTATTCAAATGAAAGAAATTATAGTGTAGAATATGAAATACGGCCATTGTGCCATGAATGAAGAATCATATGTATGGCCAAGAGAGCCAATAAAATAATGATGTTGTAAGTGGTTGAAAGTGCTAATGAGGCTATAAATGGTGTGAAAGGTTATGAGGTAAATGCAATTGTATTTCTATTTCCCTCGTATGAAAATCAAAAAAATGCTTTTTTCGGAAATATCGTTAGTCACCGAGGAAGGGTAGGTTGACATAACCTAACCCCGGAATACAGCTCCACCTGCATACATTGGGGTGAGGCGGCATGGCCGCTTTGTGTAGAGATTGTGATTGTGAATACACCTCCACCCCCATACATTGGGGTGAGGCGGCATGGCCGCTTTGTGTAGAGATTGTGATTGTGAATACACCTCCACCCCCATACATTGGGGTGAGGCGGCATGACCGCTTTGTGTAGGGATTGTGATTGGGTATACACCTCCACCCGCACACATTGGGGGTGAGGCGGCAGGGCCGCTTTGTGTAGAGTTTATGGTATTGTGATTACACCTCCACCCGCATACATTGGGGTGAGGCGGCAAAGCCGCTTTGTGTAGAGTTGTGGTATTGTGATTACACTTCCACCCGCATACATTGGGGTGAGGCGGCAAGGACTCTTTGTATAGAGTTTATGGTATTGTGGTTACACCTCCACCCACACATATTGGGGTGAGGCGGCGGGGCTGCTTTGTGTAGAGGTTATTACAAGGGATCTTCCAACCAAAAATAATATTACTATCGTATTTTGAAAATTATTATTTTTAACTCGGTATTTGGATATCATTGGTTGTTGTTGCTGTTTCCATGGTTCTCCCTTTTTATTTTGGCATTCTATTTTGAAAGAGGACAGTTAGCTTTACATACTAGCACTATTCCATATGTACTAATGTCCCTTTTGCCGGGGGCGCTGCATCTTTAATGGATGCAGGTGGCTTGACAACGAAAAATTTTAATTCTCATTACCAGTTACTCCATATTCAGCAAGTTTTGGTGAGCCTTACTCTGTTCCGGGCTTTATGTCATTTGACGTTGTACTTTACGTTTTAAGGT